CCATCATTGATCAAAATCATCAACTTTGGATTATTAAGGATCAAGTGAACCAGATTATCAAAAGTGAATGAACATTTTTGAATGGTAGATAAAGAGAACCGTTCTTCCATTCCGTCCTCACTATTCCTAGCAGTGTGGTGGATCATGTTGTGAGTCACTACTCCACTTGCCATCTGCGATGGCAATCAGTGCTCGCATGTCTAGGGCGTCCGCCCAAGTGCACGCTCCTTACTTTGTGTCAAGAGCATGCTGAATGGGGTAGTGAGGGGCCCCGGCCCGAGGTTGGTTCTTGTGAACCAAACCTGGTTTCTGTGAACCAAGTCGCCCTGGCTGGGGACCCCCATTGGGTTGGTGGGTGGGACGCTTTTTGCAGGGGGGGTGGGATGGAGCAAAAAGTGGATCACCTTCATGATAAAGATGTGTCGGTGTAAGATGAATGAGAACTTGCAGGTATAGCCTAAAGCGCTGGCTATTAGGGACTTGGTCTGGAGAGTGAAACAGTTTGCACGGTGTACCAAACCTTCTTTCACCCTCCACCTGTCACAGGCTGTGCAAGTCCTTCATGGACTTGCGAGCCACCTGTCATATGGTGGTTTGGTCTGAGATGATGACAATGATTGGTTATCAAAGAACAATCTAATTTACTCAAATCTTGAATTGAAGAATGATACAAAGTTAATTTTTTCAATGAACCAAATGATCTTAATAGATTCAAACTGATTTGACATCTACTTAGTTCATTTGTCCTAATTTGAGTGTTTTGGTTTTTAATCATTTTGCATGGTGGAAAAATACTACATCTGCACAGTGTTATTGTTTCCTATGTTTTTTTTGCTAATTCTTAACTGTCCTTAAAACATGTCTATGCGCGCAATGTTATTCAACATTTTTTTCTCGATTACAAGTTTTTGAGTGTGTTGCGCAGCTGTTGTGCCTGTTGCACAGCGTAGAAAAGCAACGCTGAAGCGTGTAGCCTTGCTCTTTGGCACCAGAGAGTGCTATGCTACCAGACTTTGAGAAAGCAGTATCTTTCCATAACGCAACGCCTATGACGCTGTTGGGCGGCGTTGCATTGCTTACCCAGTGTTATTTGAAGTCTTTAAACAACAATGATGAGTAGCAGGACTATGACCAATTGGTCTTTGACTGCCTCTTCAATGAGCTCCCACCACCTCCACCACTTCCTCATACTTGTATAAGTTTGAGGAAGGTTTTGGAAGTTTACACTTTGAAGTTGAGGTGCTGAGGTTTGAAGTCTTGAATTGTGATGTTTTGCAGTCTGAGGTTTTGAAAACTGTAGTTGTTGACCAATTATCCTACAATAAATCATGTTGTAGGCTGGCATAGATCTGAACATGCCGACTGCAAGACTTGACACAGTCGTAGGGACAGCAAGTGTAAAATAGGTCCATGATGGAGCTGTCTGAATTTTAGTGTTACAGTAACACTAAATTGCTTTGTTACGGCACCCATAGTGGGTGCTCTAAACCTTCATCCAAACCCCAAATCTATAATTATACCATCACTTCTTTTTCTGAAAACTCAATCAAAAAAACCAAGCATACCTTTTTCAATAAAAACTATATGAATTCACATTCTCCTTTCCCTTTTTCAAAAAAGATCAATGAAACATACAACAAAAAAAATCTATGTATCCTTAGACACTTTAAATACATATACTTTATATAATAATAAAATACTACTTTTTCCAACACATCATGAAACACTGATAAATTTTGCAAAACAAAAGCCAAGATAATTTTTTTCAAGTTTTTAATCAAAAAGTAATGAACAATATAAAGAAAAATAAATTCAAGAAAAACCAAAGCTTAAAACCATGAACCCAATTTGTTTTTGTCTTTTTATTTCTTTACTGCTCTGTGAGCTCTAGGTTTAACTTCAGCTAAACTAATTTCAGATCTATTATCATGATCATCTTCTTCCTCTTCTTGATCATCACTACTTTGAACTTCTTCTCCTTTTCCTTTTCCATCCCCAGCCTTTTGTTTTTGACTACCTTCACTTTGTTCAATTGCAAATTCAACAGTTTCATTTCCTTCCTCTTCATCATCATCATTCTGATTACTTCTTCTCCTCTTAGAATAGGGCTCATAACAGAAATGAGGAAAGATTTATGATGTAATTGATTTTGTTTAGAAGATGAAATATTGATTGAATTATAGAAGGTGAATTATTTGGAATCAAAACACATCCAAGTTGACTACTTTGACTTCTTCTTTTTGTTGAATGTGGATGATCTTGATTTGTTGTGATTCCATTTGACAAATACCAGATCAGTGGTAGTGTACTCACTTGGATCTTTAGCCACAATTGAAATCAATGGTTTAACAGAAGTATGATAAGGATCCCAGGATTTAGAATTAGCTGGAATTTCAATTCCATTCTTTTCCAGAGAAAGATCAACCAAATATTTACTATCAAAATACAAAACCATCAGTTCAAACATAAAACGGAACCCAAAACCAAACCAAAAGAAAACTTACATCTTTAATACAGCTTTGCCATCCATACCAATGATAAGTGAAACCAAACCTTCAAAAAACCAAACTTATCTAATTCATTCCCATCTTTTTCTTGAAATTGAATCATTCTTGGGAAAACCCATTTGAATAACTATTGATGTAAAATTATATAAGGTTTTGAATTCAAAATTAAATTAATGCCTAATCTTGATCCTCTAGTCACAATAGTAGAACCCAATAATTTTGAAACCTTTAAAAATTGATCTTCTGAATCAATTTCTAATTTAAAAATAAACCATGACTTTTTTCAAAAAAAAAGTATCATAACATCAGCAATGAACTCCATACCCAATTATGTTTTTCAAGAGAATAAAAAAAGAGAAACAAATATTGAAGAAAGTTGAAAAATCAAAAAAATAACCTCTCTGAAACTTTTTGAAACAGTTATAGCCAACTTTTCTTTTTCACTTCAAATTGAATTACTTTTTCATTTCCAAAACAAAATCTTTTTAAAGAGCCAATCAAAATTTCAATACTCAATACTTAAATCAAGTACATCACAACCAAATTGATTACAGTTTGATAAAATTAAATTTGAATGCTCATATTTAGTTATACCAAAACATATTGATTTTGTAAAAGTCAAGATTAATAATTCCGATTCTTCTTGATTTTTTATTTCTTTAAAACTTGTGGTTTAATCTATATGAAAAAATAGTTTTAATTTTTTGAAAAATCAATTTCCAAAATATTCTTATTACACTTTAAAGTATTTGTTCCAATTTTAATTCTCTCGGAATCACAAACTTCATTCAAAAAGTGTTTAAAAAGTTTACTAATCAATTGCCTTACTCGAGTTCCTTGATCAAAGATTAATTTCATCAATTGATTTCTTTGTAACTTTTCTAAAATTCCTTCTTGTGAGTCTAAAATTGTTAAGATTTTGATTGCTAAACATCTTGTATTGATTTCAAGTTCTCCTATTGTGATTTCTAAAAATCTTAATTTAAATCGGGTTGTGAAATGTTGCAATGGTCCTAGATCATCTTCTTTGCAGTCTAAATTCTTTAAAGCTTTCATGGCTTCAAATCTGGCTTCCTCATTCTATATCGAGCAAAAGAAACAGGTTTCAGACTCACAGAAGAGTAGATGCTGTGGTAGAGGAATGAGAAAGATTCTCACAGTATCAGTCAAGACCCAACCCAAATATCATAGATAATGACCACCCAAGAAATGATTAGTAAGTTGATTCATCTGTTGTCCTAAAGCTTAAACACATTCGATCCAAATCTGGGGATCTGAGTCTCGATATCAATGAACAAAAACACTGCGGAAAAAAATCAACTTTATCAATCGCCTTCTTCATTATCATCCATAAACAAGTAACTTGACTAACCGATCAAAGAAATCAGTAATTTCATTCTCAAGACTCTCTTTCTGATCACTCACCAAATTTTCCTTTTTTCCCATTCATTTAATCTGTGATCACTTCCATATCGATTACTATGATGATTTTTGTTTTGGAGATCCAAATCTTTTTTGTTTGATCGATTGAATTCTAAAATAACTCAAATTGAAATATTGTTAAATGAACTCATTCAACCAAACAAAAAAACAAAAGTACCAGTATATCGAATTGATTGTTTGTAATGAATTCATTAAATCAGTTTCATATGAAATTAAAAACAAAAAAACAAAAGTAGGAGTATATCGAATCAATCATTTGTAATGAGTCCATTAAATCAGTTTCATATAATATTAAATTTTGATGTGATAGATTGATTAATGTTTTGAGCAATTTGATCAAGTTTCTTCAAAGTTGCCTGGTGGTGAGTTTCAGTCTTAATGATCTATTGATTCTTGAGTTAATGAGTGGTCATCAGATTCAGTTCAGGGCCGTAGGAGAGGAGGTGGGGTCAGGAAAAGCTGAGCCTAAGGGGGTCAGAGTCTTAGGTGTACAGGGTGTTAAAGGCTTAGGGGTTTAATCCAGTTTTGCCAAGAAACTGGGTTGTGCCTTTAGTGTTATGATCTTTAATAAAATTGATCAAACAAACCACTTCAGCATGACCTGATAAATTTCCGATACAACTAGTATTTGAACTACACCAAATCTTAATTAATTCATCAAATGAACTTGATCCAATCAAAGTACTTGATGGATGGAATTTTAAACAATTGTGGGATACAAAGTTAAAACTGGGGTTTTTTCCCCAGTTTCCCAGTTTTTGTTTTTGGCCGTGTTTGGAACTTTCCCACGTTCTCCCAGTTTCCCAGTTTGTGTTTTTGGCTGTATTTTGAAAACTGGGAAACTGGGAAAAAACTCCCAGTTTTAACTTTGTATCCCATAAATATACAGAACTAGCATTTTAGCAGCGGGCGCCGCTGTTGAGAAATTGACACACAAATTATGTGTAAAGACACCGCAAGTTACTACAGCACGAGGCAACAGATCATATGTAGTTTCATCACAATAAGGTGTGCTCGCGAAGGCTGTGATCACCAGGAAAAGCATCAGTATCAAAACGCCACAAACAAGATAACCACATCAGCAGCCATGCATGCGAGAAGCTCATCACCCTCACACAAACAAAAGCAACATACATCCCGCAGCACAAGCAGGCTTTTGATATTCAACAAAACGAGGTCACAAATCATCACCACGTCACAACCTTGGAAACACAGATATGGTCAGACCCAAAAAAGCACCACCATCAAAAACGAAATCATTTAGTACATCCCAACTCAAAAGACATATCTACGACAGCACAAAGGGTCCTGTGACAGACAAGTAAAAACTTTCAGCATCAGACCAAAATATGAGCTGACAGGCTATGTGCAATCATTACTCACAATTACTTCCTTGTAGGTCAGGTGATATGTGAACATACATTTAATCCCGTAATATCTGAACGCCTGGACTAATTCATCATCGTACAATTCCGGACCTCTTGAGTTTACAAAAAGTATGGTCTTGAACTTCGGAGGCAACACCACTGGCACATATTGCATCAAATCGAGTAGGTTTTTCCAATAACCATTAGCGTGCCGATAGCTGGTCACCAGTACTTCCATAGTTTGATAGACAGGAATTCGTAACCAAGAGTAAGACGCCGGGGTTGAATCGCATCTCACACAACGCAGCACACGAAGGCGAGGGAAGGTCAGGTCGAGTACGTCTGTAGGCAGCCGAGAAGGGCTAGGATCGATGAACACCGCTTCCAGGGAGTGTTTCAAAGCCAACACAATAGGGCCAGCTTGATCCCGGCCAGCAGCAATTGTGAGCTCAAGGAACCTCACATTCCTGCCTTCGGATTCGCAAAGATCAACAAACGCCCCAACATTGTTACGCTCTACCACTAAACAAAGATGCACCAGATTCGGTAGAGCGCCCACGTCCAACTTTAAGCAGGCCAAGGACGCGCACCGGATTGACAAAGATTCCAATGAAGGCGTCGAATTGAGAAGAGAGACCAAAGAATCCGAATCGTTCCACGTATTACGAAACATCCCACCGACAATGCCCAGTGCCTTGAGTTTTTCCATACCACCAATGGCAACACGCAAGTCCGGAGAGAAACCCACTGAGTGAAATAAAATGGAATCTAATTCTTCCAAGCTACCACCACAGACACCAATGAGCTCCGCTTCCAGATCCATTCCAATTGCTGAGTGATTTGTAACATTACCCGGAATACAACGACCATCTTGATTCCCATTCGAGCCACCAAGTGACGAACCATGTTTGACACATTCCGACACAAACACTACCCCAGACAAACAAATCTTTCGCAAACCAGAAAAAATAGCAAAACGATGTGAACCGTTAAAAGATAACAAAATACCCATACACATTGCCGGAGTAGCCAAATACAAATCCTTGTACACAAATGGAATGATCGCATCGTTCCACGACTTGGACAATAAGCGCAAGGAGAGTAAGTGACACAAAGGAGCAGAACACAATAGTCGGCGATTTGCACTATTCATAAGGGATGGTTCTAAAAAATCCGCGTCCTCCATATAATAAGCAATAATGAGACCGACTACTTCTACAGGGAGACCGGATGTGCCATGAATGAGAGGACAACTCAATACATTTGAAAACATATTGCAAAAATATACCGCAACTACACAAACAAAATATAACTGTGATCGAATCCACAAACCAGAGCAACTGGACACAAAAGAAAAGGTATGCAAACAGGTCATAACCTAAACGCACAACAACATATATATACAAAATCTAAAAAGGTACATTTCAGGCCGAATGTGCCCTTCATGAAACACTGTTTATCCCAATCCGTAAGCATATCGAAATCAACCAAGCATTGAAGACGGCCACAAAACCTTGAATTACTGGTTCATCCACATCAGAGACAAAAGAACACACCAGCTCAGGCAACAGGCTGAAAACACGAACAAAGAAACACAGGTGATCTTGATATCACCAGCTGCGTGTCGCAACAATCACTTGAACAAAAACGCACTGACGCCTGCCGCCCCCGACATCCCATTAAATGGACATAAATTGGCAAGACAATATATATATATATATACAACTGCAGATAAGCCAAAGGCCAATAACAAAAGCATATGTAGTTAAATAAATAACAAAGCAATCATACACAACCCCGCGCCCCAATTGTAACTTCAACCCAGATGATTTACCGGCGAGAGAGAAGGTATGACATAATCAATAACGTAATATATTTGCCTGGTCACCAAATCAAGCAACATAAGCAATGCACTGACAAATTGACCCAATCCCATGATCCCCCTGCCTAATGTATGCCTCCGTGCGCGCTGCTGAAAACAAGTAAATTGGTCTATGTATATCCAAGGATAAGCATCCAAAACCCTGGGGTATGATACCCCAACCGAGAAGTAAGTCTTTGCCCCAAAACCCAAAAGACCACAAACACGCTTTGGGTAACAACACTATACCCGGCCAACAAATGGGAAAAAGCAGCATCATCAACACTCACTTCGCAACGAAATGAATCACAACTTTTGGATTTTTAGTTTCGGTGCGATCAAACCGAAATTATACATATCGCACTCAAAACAAAACCAACAAAAAAGTATTTCCTCTCACGGTTTCGGTTCGAGTTTCAAAGCGAAATCGCAACGCAACAGCAACGAAATCCGCAATTAATTTCGAAAATGGGTCGCTTTGGAAAAAAACAAAGGACAAGAGCATTGTTGTGGCGTCTTTTAGATGGATCAAGTGTAACAAATGATGTGTTCAAGTTCAGAATAGAAGAAATAAGATTTTTTTGATTGGGAACGATCAAAGAACTATATAATATAGATACTTCAAGACTTTGATTTCTGAGTCCTGTTAGATTTTTTTTTCTCTGCCATCTTGTTAATCTCCGCAAGAGCCTCTTCATATTCCACTGGGACCTTCACCCCTTGACCAAGCCATTGGTGACATCCAACGGCACGCTCAATGGTCCGTGGAGCGAGGCTTCGATCTGAGGTTGCAATTCGTCCTGCAGCAGAGAAGGTGCGCTCGCAAGCACACGAAGTTGCAGTACATGCCAAGTAGTCGCGTGCAACTCTACTCATGATGGGATAATTCGCATGATTTTCCTGAGGGAAATAAAGAGAGATTGATCAGATGATTGACTCGGGGGAAAAGGCAGTAGTTCGCCAAAAATTGTACATACCTTCCACCAAGTGAGTGGTAAGTCTCCTTTGTTAGCAACACTTTTGCTATCAAGGTAAAGCTTGAGATAGACATGGCTGTTGTCCACAGTTTCATCGCCTGAATCTTCACTGAAATCATCCAGATCGTCGGTGGATGAAGCAACAGGCACAGTAGTTGCCAAAGCGCTTTTGTCGGAGCTTTGTGTCTTTGTTGAAACACGAGCAGTCTCAGCCTTGTAGGCTGCTTCAACTAGAACACGAGCACGCTCAACATGCTCCGGATGATACTTCTTGAAAAACTGCAGGCGATAACGTGGATGCATAACGGTCGCGATGACTACGGCATCGCACTCAAGAGCTTCGGTCTGGTATGCTTCTATGTCAGAAATCATTCTGTCAATAACTCCTTCAAGTTCGGGGTATGTTTTAATGTGTTCGGCCCTTGCTGAGCGGAGCTTTCCGATGACGTTGACATACTCAGCAAGTATTCAATACGCATTTGAGTCGTTTCCTTCCATTGACAGTGTTGTATCTTTGAAAATCTATGTATTAGGAGTTCATAGAATAAGTGTATTGAATCGATGAGAAGTATTGAAAAGGAACCAACCTTTAAGATATCAAGCAAGGCTTCAACACCAGTCCACTCCTCTCCTGAGATCGAGAGCCCGTTGAAGTACTGGTACTTCCGTTCCTTCTTGCGATCCTGTGTGAGAAATTTATTGATAACCTATGATGATCGAAGTCATCTCATTAGCAGGATCTTCACTTGAGCACGTTCACCACATGACTAACATTTTGTGCATCACATGCTCGCTGCCAACTGTCTAGCTTTGAGTTCCATCTTACACCATATCCATAGATCAGCATCTTGCCTTTGTACACCAAACTATCCGCAACCGATTCGTATTCTCCACGTTTTGCTGAGCAGGAGGCGACTGCTTGACTGACTTGTTCAAGCTATGTAGTCAGTGACAAAGGAAAAGAGATCAGCAGCAAGCAAAACCATAATCTCAGAGCTGTCAAGGTTGAAAGAAACTACACATAAAAGCCTACTTTCTTAACTCCACTGGTGATTAATCCCCATGTTGGTTCAATCACAAGGTTCTCATCAGGCAGGTCGTCTTCACTCTCAGGCACTTCTAATCGTGTCAATCCGTTTCGATCACCTCCAATCTCTGAATCCGCGCTCGCGTAACCAGCATCCTGATCTGTTGCTTCTTGAGTATCGGGTTGGTTAATGTTGATAATGGGTATTGGCATACGGACATCTGGTTGTGTTGTTGGTTTTACATGACCTGCCTTGAGCTTCAGACCGTCCAATCCGTGCTTGACCACAAGTGCCAGTTTGTGGCAAAAGCATCGGATATGATTTGATTGTGAGTCCCAAAAGTGGGGATCATTTTCATCCTCCAAGAACATCCGCTGCATCTCCCAAGCGAGGAAGTTGTTACTCGCAGCCGAGTCTGTGGTTTGGGCTATCATGTAGATAAAGGGAACAAATTTATTAGACCAATATTCATGATAACATGATGAAGTGGAAACAAAACTTATCTTTGTGTGGAGGCCATGGCGGATGAGAAAGCTTGCTACAGGTCGAGCAAGCAAAACTCCATAATGGTCCCATATGATACGCTTGAGAGTTAAGTGAATGGTCTTGAACTCCCAATTACTGTCAATGTACGAAGCCGAGACCCCCAGAAAAGCGTACCGACTACCTTTGGTGGTCCATCCATCATGGATCAGGCAAAACCTACTTGAGTTGTTCTTGAGGGTTGCAATTGCTTCATCATGTAAGCCCTGCGCGAGGGTTTTTGAAGCATTATATAACCCATGATGGTGATCGTAACTGGGCTTGATGATTGGCCCATCCAAAAGCGGCCGAAAGCTCAACATCATCAATCCGGATCCAAGGCAGTGCATGAAGTAAAATCCAAAGGACCATGATCTTATTGAGTGTTTCAACTGTAAACTTCGTGAATGCTGAGATTGAAAGCTGTTTTCCTGTTGATTTCTTTTTTGGTTCGTTTTTCTCTTGCCAAGTGGGCAGGCAAACAATTCCGGCTTTGATCGCTAGATGTTGCTTTGGGCAGGGCTTGCGACCGCTCTTGCCGTCTTGATGAGTTTGGAGGTTGTAGTGATTAGATTCACCATCCTTGTAGTCTTCATTGCAGAATTTACACGTATATGTAAGAACCTCTCGTTCCAACTCCTTTGCCTCTTTGGTTACCTACAAAAGTCCACCACCATCAGCATCTATCAATTGTTAACCTGGAGTGGAGAGTTACATACGGGATCTTTGATCGTGTATTTCTCTATCGATGCCCGTGGGTTATCATGAAAGTAAGTGAACAGATCTTTCACTTTTGATGTCCTCTGCCTCTGATCAGAGCGTTTCGGAACCTCTGAGTCAGACTGTTGATCTGTGTTCATGCCATGCGGAACAAAGATCACCTGAAACAGAAGCTTAAAATTAACTTCTCTACAAAACAGAATAGGCATGAAAAACTGACATTCTGAAGTGGTGCCAAGCGTTTCTTCTTTTTTGCAGGTGCACCCTTTTCAACTTGCTTTTTTTGAGCGGCAGCTGAGTCTGTGTGTCCGCCCGAAGACCTTCTTGCTGGGCGCTTGGTAGGTTTAGTGGTCAAAGATGTTTGAGTTTCTTTGGGATCAGAATCCTCTTTCTCGGTGTCTGAAGATAATGCAATAGGAGTACCACTTCGGTCACATTCACCATTTTCCTTGGATTGTGAGCTGATATCGTTAGATTGAGTAGAACTACCAGTCATAGTGGCTTGATTGAAAGATATAACAGATGTAGGCTACGCGCAAACAGGCTACAATGAAAACAAAGTACAAAGCGATACAAAAGACGCGACACAAGGGGTGGGATCTCATCATTTTGCCCCTGGTTTGCCGGCCATCAGTCCTAACCTAACTGCAATTGAACAAACCGCAACCGACCACAATTTTCGGTTCGTTTCGTTGCTATTTCGAAACATATCATTTGGTTTCGTTGCGGCCAAACCGAAACGCGACTGTTTGGAAAAAGTTTGCGTTTCGGACAACCGAAATGGCTCAGAAGCCGTTTCTATTGCGGAAAATCGCACCGAAATCGCACCGCAACCGAAATTTTGTTGCGGTGCGAAGTGAGTGTTGGCATCATACACCAAACAAATCATACAACCAAAATACAAATTAGCTACATATTCAGCAATAAGAAATCTACGCAGCAATATACGCGCCACATCATGGCAACCGTAAGGCAGTTAGACATAGAAGAATCACCTTTTGATGATATCGAGTTCCTAGAAACCTTAAGTATACACTTGTGGCAAGGTAAGACAATCACTCCACACACATCAACCAATCCTAACATGCCTAATCCCCTGATGTGCGCAGAAGTAAAACCAACCAAACTGGTAATCTTCGAGACAGGAAAATGCATGACCATGCACATGTGGCGGAACTGTGCCTTCAATATCAATGACCCCAACTTGCCATCACCTGAGTGTACTGTCTTTTTGTTGGAGCAAGTATCAGGTACACCTGCCTCAGATAGTAAGTCACACATTTCGCACAGGCCATGGAATGTACTGACAAGTCACAAATACAGGATATGTGGTTCGCATACACGATATTAACAACCACCGAAAACCCGATCTTCACGATACTGTCTACAAATTGGTAGGTCAAATTGCCTTGTCCAAGGCGTCTGTAGAAGCCGCAATGAGAGAATAGTAATGTTTGAGATGATCAAATATTTCAGCAATCCAACCAATGTATGCATCAAATTATATTACAAGATCCTAGCCATGTAAATGTTGGATACGCAATAGAGGTTCAATCCCAGCTATGGCAGCCTTAAGCAGAAGATTTCGAGCCCGTGAGTTGTGATCAGAATAAAGAAATTGTGTCCATGCAGCAATCAACAGGCATTTAGCGCCAGGTCACCCAATATTACCAACATGATGACCCAATTAATTTGAACTCCCTTACACTAAATCACCACAATCCCACATTATGTCATTCATAGGTTCCAAAATATGCTGAGTTAGTCCGCAGCTGGAAATAATTTCTTGCAACTATCATATAGACCAAAGGCCACCGCAATAGTAAATAAAATATACGGCCACTAACAATTCAATCAGACCATCAGAAAACAATGTAACCAACAATTAACCAGGCAAATGCAGTTCTACCTAAACACATCAGCATCACAGCTGACAATAAAGATAACAATCAATTGACATATTGAAACAATCAACGCATTATCAAACCCTACACACTTCCTATATATATGAAATCAGAAATTTAACAACAGCACTCACATCACCAAAACCAATCATGGTGAAACAAAAGTAATCTAGCACACTCAAGCTCAGGACAAAGTTCGATAACCATGCCCGTAGCATAAGAGACCCCACTTTCGCACCAAATTCCAACACATCAAAACAACTTAAAGCCACGCGCCACCTCATGAATGTGAAGTACCCCATGTAAGCCCAACCTTATCAATGCCTACCACGAAACAAAATAACCACACCACGCACAAGACAAAAAAGCAAAAACGGAGGCCAACATAGGAAAACAACATATCAGACACTAAATCAATGACTGCAACAACAAATTACACACCAAACACGACCAAAAACTCACTTGCACAAATACCAAGTCGTACCCAGGCCACCAAGGAAGAACCGATTGACCAAAGAACCTCATTCACCCATCCAGTCCAATACCGCTAGCGACATCCTGAAATATTCAAGTTGGCATTGAAGTTAGGAGCAAAATATACAATCGAAGAAAAGAACTCTTACCAGGATCTGTTGCGTTGTCATTTCGTATTTGAATAAGCATTTGATACCAATGCTGGCGAATTGTTTTACAAGGTACGCGTTTTGAGAATCCGGTCCATTCCAACTGACAAAGATGATATGCTTGAGCTTAGGCGGGAAAGGAATAGGAACAATGCCAACTTGTGACATCATCCTTTGCCAATAAAATCTCCCGTGCCAATAACTGGTTATGAATACCTCCATGGCACTGAACATTGGCCATTGGAACCACACCAGGTTACCAACATAAGTAGTACTATAAATGCTACGTATCACCTTCAATTTCGGGAAATGGGTGTCCAGCACAACGCGACTAAGGTTATCAGGTACTGAATCAACAAAAAGTATCTCAAGACAGTGTTTCAACCCCACTATCATAGAACCACAAAGACCATGCGCGTCCGGCGAAAAACACTCAAGGAACTTTATATCCCTGCCTTCCGCCCGCACGAACTTGTTGAAACATTGATGAGTATCAAGATAAAGAGGTGCCCATAAATGGATCAGACGGGGCAAGGAGGACGCCTTGATATCCAAGGGGCCAAGAGAACCACAGTCGATCAATAATGATTCAACGTTCGTAGTGACGTCGAGGACCTTTGTGATGGATCCGAAGTCATGGTAGGCCTTGCGTGATCTACTCCCAAGCATCATGAAGACTTTGAGGGAACTGATATCGCCGATTGCCTTGATCAGGTCTTGAGAAAAACCAACCGATTTCGAAAACTTGATCTTGAGCTCAGTTAAATTATGACGACATAAATTGATTATAGCGGCGGCGTCCTTCATAGATAGCGAAGAGCAATCAGAGTGCCGCTTATCAAAACGGGAGATTTCATCGGAATCATTGGAGTCATCGAGATCCAAGGAGGCGAGTATGAAATCAGGCAAAAACAGAACACGACCTATACAGAGGCGACGCAGGCAATGAGTGCTCGAAATCGATGCTGACATTCGTGACATTTTCAACAAACAGGTCGACATATTAGGAGTAACTAAGTTTAAAGATACCCCCACGTAAGAACCAATTCCCATTGCCCATGATTTGCTAAGTAATCGGAGATCGAGTATTTGTTTCACAGCGCTATGATTGACAAACGGCCTGTGAGCACTATTCAGAGGGTTTGCCGGAGTAACATCAGATTGATCCACCAAATAAGAAATAATCAAGTCTACAACTCCAGGCGGCAGGGATCTTGAAGGTGGCAAGCAGACCGAAGCCAAGGGCAAAGAAGGTATCATCGCCAGCTCCATTAAAGTTCGAAGTAAGGAAATGAATAATATTATGTAGGATATGTTGAAAGGTTAGGTATAAGTCAGCTATTGGGATGTCCACGGCACAAAGACAGAAACATACGACCAACATGGAGCAATAAAATACGCACTCGAATAACGAACTGGGGTCGAAGAACACCACTGAGAAGGGGCCACACGACATCTACATGTCCCCAATGAAGCAACAATCCTGCCCATCAAATAACAAAAATCATGATGCGCATTCATAAGAAGCCTTAATCCCCAATAAAACATGAATAAGTGAATATCCACCTACCCAATCACCCAGTCATTTTTGCCCAAGTAGAACACAAAGATTGAAGGTAACAGTAGTTGATTTAGAAATTCCACACGTCAAAGAGACCGAAAGTCTGGAAAGGAGACAAATAAGCACTGACATGTTGCAGAGATTGGGGTCGAGTCATAAGGCGCAAGCGGATACATACCATATTGACGAATCCCCAAACAGCTGAAAACGTAGAGGCCAACAGACTTGGAAACAGAAAAGACAATCAATCATCAGTGTTATATAACACAAAACCAAAGTACAATCATTGAACGGCCAAAATGAAATAAACTCACCAAATCAGGCATCCGATCAGTTATGGATAAACCGTGCAGGCGAGGCATGAGGCGCCCCAGCAACTATGCCGGACTTCAAATGACTAAACGAAATACCTGTGGTGTAAACCCATAATATGTAACCAGTTTATGACAACTCCCATGAAAATTGTAACATCATCGACCACAGTGATTGTTGCCTGCATAAGATGTACGGAGTTGCCATCAATCAACCAACTGCATCGTCACCTGCAAGTGGCTCACCAAATGACTCAAGGGGCAAAGTCTCCAATCAGATGAGTTCCGGTATAAAACCAAGCGATCGGAGTTGACTTCACACAAGTCAACCCCCGCCCACCAAACACGCACAACAATACCAATATTTGTATACATTGAGAGCGCCGCACCATACTTCAGAAAGTTTCCAAATAAAACTCGTGTGAGATCTCAGCCAATGATTGCGATAAGAGGAAAACACATGGGCCATGTACCAATCAAACAATCGCGAGACACAGATCGGTTCACGATGTGTACCAGGATGGTACCTTAAACAGTGGCACTTGTTGCCAAAAAAGCAAGTGAAAAGGAACATGGCATTATAACGCGAATGGGGTCTGACGAAGAAAAACAAATGTATGAAATATCATAACAAAATACCATTACTATGTGATAATAAAATTCACCAACGTCACCCACAAAGTAGGCCGCCACTCTCAACATATGCCACCATACGTAACAAAAGGAGCTACAATACGGGATAAGAACTACAAGGACTGGTTGTAACAGATACATGCCATCAGTGTGAAGTAAGCAAATGAAGCATTGGAGCAGAGAGACACTTACCCAAAGACATAATCCATATCAAAAGAGTAATACGGGATGGAATACAATGTTAAGAGTCCGGCAACCACCTGAGTCCGATGGAATACACACATGGACATTTGAAGCAGAGGTGCAACATGACAGAGCTACGTACAATTGCCCGTGGGAAAATACCGGTTTAGGCAGCATGACTACCACACGATTAAGGCTTTGTCCTTGGCTTTTGTTGATAGTCATGCAGAACGCCGGCATGATAGGAAACTGATATCGCACAAATGGTATAGGGCATACCGCTTCGCTTTCATGCCGCAACTTGATCTTAGGTAGGCTAATAGCCATGCCTTTCTTTTCACCTGTGAGGATACGGCACTGCAAAGCCTTGTGCTTCACATCTGTCACCAACAACCGAGTGCCATTGCAAAGTCCGTCCCCCATATGCAAGTTTCGAAGTACCATCACCGTGGCTCCCACTTTGAGTTCTAATTTGTGCGCCGGGAAACCGGGAAAATTGAAGGAATTTAGTACATCGGCAGTCACTGGGTCCCGAAACGCCTCGTCCATCTCGTCTCTGGACAAAGATACAAGGCCGTTGCCTGGTAAGGATTTGATGACGTGCTTATTCAAAGCATCAACTGTTGCATTCAGTGGGGTTATCAAGCAACGGTTTGCATAGAGATCAGTTAATTCATGCCAATTTCGACATCTTATCAATTGGTTGACTCCACCATACTCCGATTTGACAAGTTGCTCGTCGAAGGCCGCAGATGGTGGCATATAGGATACATTACAGTGCTTGATATTGATAGGTGCTGTATGGTCTTCTTGAAATTCACCGGAACCTAAAGCTAGCAGCCATTTTGCAAATCTTGTGTTCGAGGGATCAGGATGAGCTGTCGTACCACCCAGGCGAATGTTGACCGACAAAGCAAACTTATTGGTCAAATCCCACAAGTACGAAGCCTTTAATGTTGCCTTGGCTTGCTCCATTAGAGTAGCACGTCTGACTATTGGCAAAGTCTGCCGGAAATCTCCCGCAAACAACACTACCTTCCCCCCAAAAGGACGCTCAATGCCTGTCAAACTCCTAAGTGTACGATCCACGCATTCGATAGCATGCCTGTGCTGCATTGCAACCTCGTCCCAAACAATAAATCGACAGTTGGCGAGGTTGGCCCCAATGCCTTCACGCAAAGAAATTGGGCAAATTGAGTCTTCGTATATTGGAATAGGAATCTTGAAGGCAGAATGTGCAGTTCGTCCTTTCAACAGAAGCAGAGATGATATGCCGGCAGCTGACACCGCCTCAAAAGGTACGTTGTTTGCATTGCAGTAGTGCAGAATTGAGTTTAGTACGAACGTTTTCCCTGTCCCACCTGGACCATCAAGGAAAGCCAGACACTGCCAGCATTAAAGAGGTTCCCAGATGGGAATATGGGTCCTAGTGATCACATTCCCATCCTGCTACTGTTACACAGTTCCACGAATATTTCCTGAGTAGCCATTGTGATATATGTAGTCAATATTTTGAGATGTGTGTCTCAATTTGAACAAAGTTACAGCATGTATTACACATGAACTTCTTATCTAGATGAGCAGATAACTGAGCGAACCTGTATGTAGCTGATAGCTAAGGATTTACTCAGATGTTTGCACATATGTAGTGTATGCTTTATGGCTCAGATGTGCAGTGCAAGATGATTTGATGCACCATTCTTCTCTCAATGATATTCCCAGCCTAGGTCATGTTCCGACCAGGGAACCTATTTAATGCTGGCAGTGAGATAAGGTTGGTTTCGCTCAATAGCCTCGCGCACAGCAGTCAAAACCCTGAGTTGCTCCCTGGTAAGAAGCGCTGACATGGAATTGTATTTTTGTAAACTCTCTGCCGGGAGTACTTCATTTGAACCGTCTAGCCTAATCTGGTCTGGCAGCCTCAGCTCGAAAATAAGACGCGGATCAACGGCAGCAACAACACTTGAGGCGACCCGCCGCAAAAAGCGGAAGCGGAGCGCCTGCGGGGCGGGTCGCCCCGTCGCCGCTTTGGAATTTTTGGGGTAGCGGGTCAAAGCGACCCGCCACCGCTTTTCCTTTGGGGTAGTCCACGCAGCGGATCGCGGAATTAGCGCGGCGGGCCAAACTTACGCCCTGCAGTCCGACTATCAGAGCGGTATGCAGCGGTCATCTGACAGCCAGCAAGATATCGATCCAAGATCGACATCTCGACATCGTTCAAGCCAAACACCACCACGATTTCACTCACAGCCAAAGAACGATATCAAGATTCTTCGAGATAAGCCATCATGAAGGCATCCTTTCGCACCAAATATTTGAACAACTGCCTTTTAACAGAAGAAATGTCAAAAGTAGTAAGTTTAGACCCTTTTTCCTTGCATCCAACGACCAAACTGACGAAAAACACCTCTCTTTCATGCAATAGACCAGCTTAGCTATCACCCCAAACTCTTGTTATACGTTCTTGCGGTCTCTCGAGAAGAAGGGCTGTACTTCACACCCTCTTTGGATCTATATAAGGTAGGTTTTTCTTTCCCTTGTTCCCATTTCCCCCGATCGTGAATAGTCATCTGATTTCTAACTGCACTAACATTGAAGTTGTTATTTCTCACTATTGCATACCATTCTTGATAGTCTCAATATTACTTTGGCCCCTTCTACTTCGAACTCTACCACTAGTCTTGCTCCCCCGTCTACAGGTCCTAGTCTTTGACCCCGATCCCCTCCTGCTCCTAAGCCAGGCTACGTTATCCAGTCCCCTGACTCTCGCATCTCCATTAATCGCCCCACAGATGATAGTGATTTGCCTGATCTTGATTTCGAACCCAATACCCCTGATCCAGCTTTCTCCGACTCGGAATCCGAATCTGTCGTAGAGATAACCCAAGCAAAAGATTTCTTGTCGATGATACCTAAAAAGAAGAAGAAAGCACCAAAGGTGAAAGCTGTGAAGGCCTCGCGTGGCAAAGGACGTCCCAGGGGCTCTGGAGCCTCGGCAACCTTGACTCGAGGGCCTGCGAAGAAGCCAAAGAAAGCCGTTGGTGTGCCAGTAAGTCTAGTCTACTTTCAATCTCTGGACCATTCTTTGATGGGAACAAGTTAATGAATACATACTGTTTAATTCCCTTCTAGCCCGGCATTCCTGATTGTATCGATATCAATCAGGATTCGGATATTGAGGTGGTTGAGACCCCAGGTGTTCGACGAGCTCAACTTGGACGGGTTTCCAAGTTGCTCGAATACTTTCATCCTCCAACGCATATCAAAGGCGAGGTGAGTCTATTCTTTCCTTCAAGTTCTCAAACCATTCACTCCTTGATCACTTTCCTTTTCGTTTCTTTCTGATTTCTTTTTTTGTTTCCATTTCTTTTCCAATCTTCTCTCATCCACCTTCTGATACTTTAGACAGGTGATGATCCGAGGTCATACAAGTGTCGGTGGTGCAAGGCCACGTTTGTACGTGGCCTTCGCACTCACTATAACCTCTACGCCCATCGGGATGGCGCCAAGGGTCGAGCAGCATGCCCTCGACGAACTCAAGCTATCTCAGCTGGTGCCGACCTGCCACTCACTTGGTCTCAAGAACAATCCCAATCCGAGGTTGCCTTGAACAAACTCAACGGACAGCCAACTCTTGACTCTTTCCTGTCGCAAGCAACCTTTAGTGTTGATTTATGCAACACCGTGTTGGTAATGTGGATTCTCAAACAAGCACTTCCTTTCAACCGATTTTACGACGTACCCCTCCGTGCGGCCTTCAAGTTGGCCAATCGTCGTGCCGAATTAAGGACTCCGACTTGGGCAGCTGGTGTGGCCAAGGATCTCTACCTCAGCTTGAGTTCAGCAGCGATTGCATTAGTATCTGTAAGTCAATCATTTCTCTCATTCTAAATCGAATATTTTGATTGAAAGTGACTGATCATGACTTTCACCAGAACAACTCTAGCAAGTTCTCTTTGGTCCACGATGTTTGGACCACGAAAGGGAATCGATATGCTTTTATTGGGGTTTCGGCCAATTATATCAACAGCGATTGGGAATACAAGACAATTCACCTCAGTTTGAAGCTGGTTGCGTGGAATAAATTTGGGTATCTATTGGCTCAACCAGTAGCACAGTTTTTGATAGCTCATGGTCTCCACAAAAAGATAAGTCTTTTTATCTTTATTCTTATTCTTTCAATTCATTTAGCTAATTTG